GAGGTGTGGCACACTTTAATAAAAATCTGATTAAAACTGTAATTAGATAATGCTCTGTTATTCAGTATTATAATTAAATGAATATATCAGGGCAACTTTGGATTCTGATGAAACTCCTCTTTTATATAGATTTTAAAGTTTTTCAAATTCCTAGAGACAACGAATGGGGTCCTTTCCCTCCAGATGGTTGGTGATGTCACTTATTGTTTCCAAAGCAACCCACCGCCAGCATCTGTTCTGGAAACCCCTTTGTGCTCCATTGACCACAGCACGGGGAGAGAGTGTGGGAAACTGACATCAACCAGCTCCTCACACTGCCACGTGCCGACTGACTCCCCTGCATCTGGACATCTGCATCTCTGTTTGCAATTTTCCAGTGATGTTTAGAATAAAATTAGATTGACATGGAAATACATTTGTAGAAAATCTTGGTATTTTTTGACCATTTATTTGGTTGATGTGATATCTGCATGCTCTTCTATTCCCACATTTCCAAGGCTCTCTGTAGTTGTCTGTATCCTCCAGCAGGTCTCCACCTGCTCCCTTGAGACCTAACAATTATCCACAATGGCTGAATAGAAGCGTGCTGCTGCTCCACACGCCTGGTTGTCACAAAGTCATCTGATTGGCTCAGACTGTGAGAAACTTTGTCCAGACCAAAACCCACATATTTATATGGAGATGTGGGGCTATAAATAGGAGGGATGAAGCCAGTGGAGATCAGATTCTCTCTACAGAGACCTTAACATGACTGAGACTCAACCATGGCTCCTTCAGTAACTTCAGCAATGACCAACCCTCATAAGCATCTGACTCTGAACCATAAGGTAAGTTAGATTCTCAGAAAGCCTGTTATTATTCTAAGATGTTTTTCTATGAATAGAAACAGTACATTCAGTAATAACTTTGCTAATGACTTTCCTCTTGATCCTGCAGCTCAGAAAGCCTCTGGTGGAGAAACGACACTGAGAGAATTGACAGCTCCATTGGTAGATCAAGGCTCTCCTTGGTCCAGAGCTCCTAAAACAGCAGCCAGACCCTGAGATGGAGAAAGCAGACATCCTAGAGATGATAGTTTGCTTCCTCACACAGAAGATGGAACAGAACCAGCAGCAGAGAAGAACCTCTATGTGTTTAGGCTGGTTTTGATGAAAAACTAACATTGTTCTGAACTCCACCATTCAGACCATCTAAGATGAGGAGGAAGATCCTAAAATTCTGTGGAAACCTTGGTAGAAACCTTCTGACTGAAGTTTGTTTTGGATGTATGAGGAGATAACATCAGTCAAACATGACTGGTGTGAGAGATGTTGAGGACTTTTCCTTCTGTTTGAACTGAGCTTCTATGATGTGTCTGTTTTCTTGTGTGTCTACATTTCCAGTGGAAATGGCTGCAGATTCTTTTATATTAAGATAGAAAATAATTTTATGCATATTGCATAAAGCTTCACTGATTGGTTTGCAACCTTTTTTTAACTATAATAATGCATATATATCAGTAGAAAGACCATATTGGTTAAAGAATTACTAAGCTACTTGTTCAAATTTAAAAGAACTGGATCTTCTGTTTGTAAAGAAGAATTGCTTCTGGATATGAAGCATTTTTATTACTTTGCTTTATAAGCAAGAGATATATATATTCTTTATGAAATGACATAAGCAGTTTGATGCAAGTTGCATGAACCAAATTATTTCCTTTTTTGCCATGTAAATGTTATAGTGCATGACTGCACTTTCAGCTAAGGCATTTTTTGCTACATTTTACTTTCGATTTATAGCTGTTATGGGAAATGTATAGTTCTTCTGATGAACCAGTGTTATTAATGGACTTTTAATCTATTGGATTATTTTGATTTGGTCTTATTTTAAGATCTCACTGTTGATCCATTAACTTTTAATGGTTATCTGATAAACCAATTTTAATAACTGTTTATTGTGGGTTGATCCAGAGGTAACTTTGATCGTTTTAGATCAGATGATATAGACGTTCTTTTGCTGAACAATTTGTCATCATCAGGTATTGGGACCACAGATCTATAATATATTCTATCATTAATATATCTGTTAATCTGTTTTTCATTTAAAAAAAGTTTGTGTTGATATTATTCCCCTCCTCAAATCACTAAATTAAATTGTGTGATTGTTAAAAATTATCTGATCATTAAGGTCAGACAGAAGATATTTATTGTCCATTAAAAAATGTAAAGTTGTTTTTACACAAATGTGACAACATTTCTAAGAGCAGTATGTTCTGTAAGTTGTTTATCTTTT